CTCTCTCTCTCCTCTTTTCCCCTCCTTTTGTGTGTGTGGATGTGCATTAGGATATTTATAATTTCCAAGTGGTAGCCCAGTCTGTCTATTTCTGTCTAGAAAGGAAAAGGGTGGGTGGGGAAAGGAATCGAGCAGCACCTTGAAGATGAACTAATTCTTTGGCACAGATATTTATAGTAGTCCCTTCATACCCTGCCTGAAATGGTTTGCAGATGAATTCTCAGACTCCCTTTCTAGTCCTGAGTCTCCCCTCTAGAAGGAATAGCTTGGATTCACTTATAACAGCAAAAGTAACAAAGACTCATAAAGACTTGTTGAGAATTTCATCTGGCACAAGCTTTAATGAACTGCAGCCCACTTGGACCTAAAATCAATGTGTTACTTGGGAACACAGCTCTCCTCTAGTTGGGACAAAGAAGTGGGTTTAGGTCTAGGTTTGCTAAGGTCCATGGGAGCTTATGGCTCAACAAACCTTGTTGTTGTGTGCCTTCAGGTCATTTCTGACTTATGGCAACCATAAGGTGAACCTATCATAAGGTTTTCTGGGGTTGAGAGTATGTGACTCACCTAAGCTCACCCAGTGGGCTTCATGGCTGAGTGGGGATTCGAACCCTGATCTCCAGAGCCATGGTCCAGCTCTCAAACCACTACACCACAGTGGCTTTCTACAACAAACTTGCTAAAGTGTCCCAACATGGAGCTTGACACGGAGGCAGTCCCCCCAAAAATAGGCTGGAGGGCTCAGCCCCCTACAAATCATTTGGCAAATCTGGATCACTTCTATGGAGCTGAGCGTCCTCAGGAATAATCAATCTCAAGTATATTAAACAATCAAATATTAAGAGAAATCAGTGATGGTTGCTGAGAAATAACAAAGGCTGCCTGCAATCTGTCCTATGCATACTTACTTATAAGTGAAATACATTTCACACACCTTATGTACATATTATACTTGTAAGAGTCTTCACATTTCGGAAGGTTTGAAGGATAGGGAAAATTCCAGCATGGTGTACTGGTTTGAGCGCTGGGATATGACTCTGGAGACCAGGATTCAAATCCTGGCTCAGTCACATAAACCCACAGGGTGACCTTGCCATGGGCCAGACCCACTCTTGGTCAGGATGGCAATGGCAAACCCCATCTGACGAAACTTGCCAAGGAAACCCTGTGATACATTTGCCTTAGGGTGACCAATAAGTTGGAAACAACTTGAAGGCAAGCAATGACAAAAAAAAAAAAATCCCTTGCAAAGACCGGCAAATACAAAAAAATTAAGAAGAACCTGCCCAGCAATGGTGAGTTCCCTCCAAACACACACCCTTCCAGGGTCCCTGTGCCCCAAGATGGTCTTTGTTGTCCATCCTGAGGAGATGACTACCATCACCACTCCCTCAAACCCTCTTTGTAGAGGGTCTCTTGGACATTTCCCCTCCTTTTCCCTCCTGATTTCTCCAAAGGAGAAGGAGGGAAGTTCACACATTTGCCAGCCAGACCTTGGGAAGGTCACTCCGTATTTTTGCAACTCATGCGCGCCGCAAGAGACCGGTGCTCATCTCGGCTTGCCTTGTGTTAGCTAACACTCTGGGCAATCCCTCAGACAATGATTTCTGGGATGGAGGCAATGGAGTGCAAGAGACCCTCCCTGCCTCTTTGGAAAGGGACCATCTTTTCTCAGGAGCCTGTCTGTGACATGAAGAAAGAGCATGATGGTGTCTTCCTGCGTGGCCAAAAGGCATTGGACTGGATGGTCCTTGTGGTCTTTTCCAACTCTAGGATTCTTTGCACCTTCTCCTATCCTTGTGGTATGTGTGTATATGTGTGTATTGTTGACTCAGAGAGGACAAAGGGTGGGGGAATCCATTCCAATTGAGTGCATCTCAAGCCATCTGAAGTAGGGGACTGCCAATCCCTTTCTTTGCAGTGTGAAAAGGACTGAGTACCATAATCTGTGCTCTGTTGTGACCAGATTCACTTTCCAATTTGGAAACTCTCCACTGACTCTGTTGGCTTATGGACCGGCACCGGAGCATGGCTTTTCCCTTAGAGCTGCACTACATGAACCCAACTGCAACACCCACACATGCACACCACAGTTGGGGTAAAGGAGAGTCCCCTTTCTGCGCACACACACACACACACACCAGAGTTGTGGATCAAGGAGAACCCCTTGTCTGAACACACACACTCACACAACACAATTGGGATGACGCCGAAGCCCCTTTCTGTAGACCCACACTCACACAACACAAGTTGGGATCAAAGAGAACCCTCCTCTCTGCACACACACACAACACATCACAACTCGGATCAAAGAGAACCCCTTTTCTGAACATGCATACACAACACGGTTGGGATCAAAGAGAACCCCCCCTCTCTGCACACACACACACACACACA